GCAGGCTGTGTCCTCCTGCAAGCGTCGCAGGCTGTGTCCTCCTGCAAGCGTCGCAGGCTGTGTCCTCCTGCAAGCATCGCAGGCTGTGTCCTCCTGCAAGCATCGCAGGCTGTGTCCTCCTGCAAGCATCGCAGGCTGTGTCCTCCTGCAAGCATCGCAGGCTGTGTCCTCCTGCAAGCATCGCAGGCTGTGTCCTCCTGCAAGCATCGCAGGCTGTGTCCTCCTGCAAGCGTCGCAGGCTGTGTCCTCCTGCAGGCTGTGTCCTCCTGCAAGCGTCGCAGGCTGTGTCCTCCTGCAAGCGTCGCAGGCTGTGTCCTCCTGCAAGCATCGCAGGCTGTGTCCTCCTGCAAGCATCGCAGGCTGTGTCCTCCTGCAAGCATCGCAGGCTGTGTCCTCCTGCAAGCATCGCAGGCTGTGTCCTCCTGCAAGCATCGCAGGCTGTGTCCTCCTGCAAGCATCGCAGGCTGTGTCCTCCTGCAAGCATCGCAGGCTGTGTCCTCCTGCAAGCATCGCAGGCTGTGTCCTCCTGCAAGCATCGCAGGCTGTGTCCTCCTGCAAGCATCGCAGGCTGTGTCCTCCTGCAAGCATCGCAGGCTGTGTCCTCCTGCAAGCGTCGCAGGCTGTGTCCTCCTGCAAGCGTCGCAGGCTGTGTCCTCCTGCAAGCGTCGCAGGCTGTGTCCTCCTGCAAGCGTCGCAGGCTGTGTCCTCCTGCAAGCGTCGCAGGCTGTGTCCTCCTGCAAGCGTCGCAGGCTGTGTCCTCCTGCAAGCATCGCAGGCTGTGTCCTCCTGCAAGCATCGCAGGCTGTGTCCTCCTGCAAGCATCGCAGGCTGTGTCCTCCTGCAAGCATCGCAGGCTGTGTCCTCCTGCAAGCATCGCAGGCTGTGTCCTCCTGCAAGCATCGCAGGCTGTGTCCTCCTGCAAGCATCGCAGGCTGTGTCCTCCTGCAAGCATCGCAGGCTGTAGGCTGTGTCCTCCTGCAAGCGTCGCAGGCTGTGTCCTCCTGCAAGCAACGCAGGCTGTGTCCTCCTGCAAGCAACGCAGGCTGTGTCCTCCTGCAAGCAACGCAGGCTGTGTCCTCCTGCAAGCGTCGCAGGCTGTGTCCTCCTGCAAGCGGCGCAGGCTGTTTCCTCCTGCAAGCGTCGCAGGCTGTTTCCTCCTGCAAGCAACGCAGGCTGTTTCCTCCTGCAAGCAACGCAGGCTGTTTCCTCCTGCAAGCAACGCAGGCTGTTTCCTCCTGCAAGCAACGCAGGCTGTTTCCTCCTGCAAGCATCGCAGGCTGTTTCCTCCTGCAAGCGTCGCAGGCTGTTTCCTCCTGCAAGCATCGCAGGCTGTGTCCTGCAAGCGTCGCAGGCTGTGTCCTCCTGCAAGCGTCGCAGGCTGTGTCCTCCTGCAAGCGTCGCAGGCTGTGTCCTCCTGCAAGCGTCGCAGGCTGTGTCCTCCTGCAAGCGTCGCAGGCTGTGTCCTCCTGCAAGCGTCGCAGGCTGTGTCCTCCTGCAAGCGTCGCAGGCTGTGTCCTCCTGCAAGCGTCGCAGGCTGTGTCCTCCTGCAAGCGTCGCAGGCTGTGTCCTCCTGCAAGCGTCGCAGGCTGTGTCCTCCTGCAAGCGTCGCAGGCTGTGTCCTCCTGCAAGCGTCGCAGGCTGTGTCCTCCTGCAAGCGTCGCAGGCTGTGTCCTCCTGCAAGCGTCGCAGGCTGTGTCCTCCTGCAAGCGTCGCAGGCTGTGTCCTCCTGCAAGCGTCGCAGGCTGTGTCCTCCTGCAAGCGTCGCAGGCTGTGTCCTCCTGCAAGCGTCGCAGGCTGTGTCCTCCTGCAAGCGTCGCAGGCTGTGTCCTCCTGCAAGCGTCGCAGGCTGTGTCCTCCTGCAAGCGTCGCAGGCTGTGTCCTCCTGCAAGCGTCGCAGGCTGTGTCCTCCTGCAAGCGTCGCAGGCTGTGTCCTCCTGCAAGCGTCGCAGGCTGTGTCCTCCTGCAAGCGTCGCAGGCTGTGTCCTCCTGCAAGCGTCGCAGGCTGTGTCCTCCTGCAAGCGTCGCAGGCTGTGTCCTCCTGCAAGCAACGCAGGCTGTGTCCTCCTGCAAGCAACGCAGGCTGTGTAATCCTGCAAGCGTCGCAGTCTGTTTCCTCCTGCAAGCGTCGCAGGCTGTTTCCTCCTGCAAGCAACGCAGGCTGTGTCCTCCTGCAAGCAACGCAGGCTGTTTCCTCCTGCAAGCAACGCAGGCTGTTTCCTCCTGCAAGCGTCGCAGGCTGTTTCCTCCTGCAAGCAATGCAGGCTGTGTCCTCCTGCAAGCAACGCAGGCTGTGTCCTCCTGCTAGCAACGCAGGCTGTGTCCTCCTGCTAGCAACGCAGGCTGTGTCCTCCTGCAAGCGTCGCAGGCTGTGTCCTCCTGCAAGCGTCGCAGGCTGTGTCCTCCTGCAAGCGTCGCAGGCTGTGTCCTCCTGCAAGCGTCGCAGGCTGTGTCCTCCTGCAAGCGTCGCAGGCTGTGTCCTCCTGCAAGCGTCGCAGGCTGTGTCCTCCTGCAAGCGTCGCAGGCTGTGTCCTCCTGCAAGCGTCGCAGGCTGTGTCCTCCTGCAAGCGTCGCAGGCTGTGTCCTCCTGCAAGCGTCGCAGGCTGTGTCCTCCTGCAAGCGTCGCAGGCTGTGTCCTCCTGCAAGCGTCGCAGGCTGTGTCCTCCTGCAAGCGTCGCAGGCTGTGTCCTCCTGCAAGCGTCGCAGGCTGTGTCCTCCTGCAAGCGTCGCAGGCTGTGTCCTCCTGCAAGCGTCGCAGGCTGTGTCCTCCTGCAAGCAACGCAGGCTGTGTCCTCCTGCAAGCGTCGCAGGCTGTTTCCTTCTGCAAGCGTCGCAGGCTGTTTCCTCCTGCAAGCAACGCAGGCTGTTTCCTCCTGCAAGCAACGCAGGCTGTTTCCTCCTGCAAGCAACGCAGGCTGTTTCCTCCTGCAAGCAACGCAGGCTGTTTCCTCCTGCAAGCAACGCAGGCTGTTTCCTCCTGCAAGCGTCGCAGGCTGTGTCCTCCTGCAAGCGTCGCAGGCTGTGTCCTCCTGCAAGCGTCGCAGGCTGTGTCCTCCTGCAAGCGTCGCAGGCTGTGTCCTCCTGCAAGCGTCGCAGGCTGTGTCCTCCTGCAAGCGTCGCAGGCTGTTTCCTCCTGCAAGCAACGCAGGCTGTGTCCTCCTGCAAGCAACGCACGCTGTGTCCTCCTGCAAGCGTCGCAGGCTGTGTCCTCCTGCAAGCGTCGCAGGCTGTGTCCTGCAAGCATCGCAGGCTGTGTCCTCCTGCAAGCATCGCAGGCTGTGTCCTCCTGCAAGCATCGCAGGCTGTGTCCTCCTGCAAGCATCGCAGGCTGTGTCCTCCTGCAAGCATCGCAGGCTGTGTCCTCCTGCAAGCATCGCAGGCTGTGTCCTCCTGCAAGCATCGCAGGCTGTGTCCTCCTGCAAGCATCGCAGGCTGTGTCCTCCTGCAAGCATCGCAGGCTGTGTCCTCCTGCAAGCATCGCAGGCTGTGTCCTCCTGCAAGCATCGCAGGCTGTGTCCTCCTGCAAGCATCGCAGGCTGTGTCCTCCTGCAAGCATCGCAGGCTGTGTCCTCCTGCAAGCATCGCAGGCTGTGTCCTCCTGCAAGCATCGCAGGCTGTGTCCTCCTGCAAGCATCGCAGGCTGTGTCCTCCTGCAAGCATCGCAGGCTGTGTCCTCCTGCAAGCAACGCAGGCTGTGTCCTCCTGCAAGCATCGCAGGCTGTGTCCTCCTGCAAGCGTCGCAGGCTGTGTCCTCCTGCAAGCATCGCAGGCTGTGTCCTCCTGCAAGCATCGCAGGCTGTGTCCTCCTGCAAGCATCGCAGGCTGTGTCCTCCTCCTCCATCGCAGGCTGTCTTACAGAACAGGATTTTCAACCAGTGTGTCGTGGCAGTTTTAGGGAAGGAAAAAATAATACAAATGATAAGAAATATGAACATTAATAATAAAACCAAACTTTTTAAAATCATGATTAACATTCTTCAAAAAAAAAGATCAAAATTTTAGCCAATTTTACTCATTTAAGCACAATCTTAATACACATATAGTCTCTCCTTAACGGAGTTATGGCGCCTCTTAACAATTTCAGCAACTTTGTGTACCGAGAGTTAAGAGGTTGAAAATCTGTTACAGACTGACGTATAATCATTAAAACCTCCATTCGGGATCTAACTAAAATCTCATTTCGGCTTCCATTTAATATGCAGGCGATGGTTGAAGTATGTTGACCAGACCACACACTAGAAGGTGAAGGGACGACCACGTTTCGGTCCGTCCTGGACCATTCTCAAGTCGATTGAATTTCCAATTAATATCTCCTTTCGGGGACTAATTACAATCTCCATTCGGCTTCTAACTAAATTTTCAATTTTAATTAGAACTAAAACTAAGCTAGCAGCGTAGCCTAAACTTACCGTGTCCTCTCACAATCGCTGCCTCACCATTCGTCTCTTTAGTGACATTTAAAGGACAGTCTTGATGTCTTCCTAATGAATGGTAACCAACCCACATTTTCCGTAAATTCAATTTTGCGTCAATTCCAATTTGATAATCAATTCCAAAATACGTCACCGTGACTGTCACTTCATATTCTCGTATGCTGTATTTTTACAACTTTTTTACATTTTTCTTCTACCATCCATTTAGGCGAGTGATGAACATCTTGACTTTGTTGAAGCAAACATGATTTTTTGCCATCTTGTCTCGTCATGCGTACTGTAATAGACGTCACCTGAGTGACAAATGAATGGGTTTCTTGCCCACGACGGAACACCCGCCTGACGTTAATGGCGCCGAGAGCCATCACAACGCAATAAAAATTGCGCTTTAAAACTCATTTCCTCGCCCTGTCCGGGACAATGGCAGGCTGATAAAAGTGATAAGAGACGGCAGCCTCCCAGGACGGCTGCCCTTCAGGGCGCGTCTCCACCAGCACGATAACCCCTTGATCTCCCTAGTGGGGTCACCTGCGTCCCCCCATTGGGGGGGGGGGCTGATAAGGGACGTCCATGGGGGGGACCAGGGACGTCCACGAGGGGGACCAGGGACGTCCACGAGGGGGACCAGGGACGTCCACGAGGGGGACCAGGGACGTCCACGAGGGGGACCAGGGACGTCCACGAGGGGGACCAGGGACGTCCACGAGGGGGACCAGGGACGTCCACGAGGGGGACCAGGGACGTCCACGAGGGGGACCAGGGACGTCCACGGGGGACCAAGGACGTCCACGGGGGACCAAGGACGTCCACGGGGGACCAGGGACGTCCACGGGGGACCAGGGACGTCCACGGGAGACCAGGGACGTCCACGGGGGACCAAGGACGTCCACGGGGGACCAGGGACGTCCACGGGGGACCAGGGACGTCCACGGGGGACCAGGGACGTCCACGGGGGACCAGGGACGTCCACGGGGGACCAGGGACGTCCACGGGGGACCAGGGACGTCCACGGGGGACCAGGGACGTCCACGGGGGACCAGGGACGTCCACGGGGGACCAGGGACGTCCACGGGGGACCAGGGACGTCCACGGGGGACCAGGGACGTCCACGGGGGACCAGGGACGTCCACGGGGGACCAGGGACGTCCACGGGAGACCAGGGACGTCCACGGGAGACCAGGGACGTCCACGGGAGACCAGGGACGTCCACGGGGGACCAAGGACGTCCACGGGGGACCAAGGACGTCCACGGGGGACCAAGGACGTCCACGGGGGACCAAGGACGTCCACGGGGGACCAAGGACGTCCACGGGGGACCAAGGACGTCCACGGGGGACCAAGGACGTCCACGGGGGACCAAGGACGTCCACGGGGGACCAAGGACGTCCACGGGGGACCAAGGACGTCCACGGGGGACCAAGGACGTCCACGGGGGACCAAGGACGTCCACGGGGGACCAAGGACGTCCACGGGGAACCAAGGACGTCCAATGGGGGACCAAGGACGTCCAATGGGGGACCAAGGACGTCCAATGGGGGACCAAGGACGTCCAATGGGGGACCAAGGACGTCCAATGGGGGACCAAGGACGTCCAATGGGGGACCAGGGACGTCCATGGGGGACCAGGGACGTCCATGGGGGACCAGGGACGTCCATGGGGGACCAGGGACGTCCATGGGGGACCAGGGACGTCCATGGGGGACCAGGGACGTCCATGGGGGACCAAGGACGTCCATGGGGGACCAGGGACGTCCATGGGGGACCAGGGACGTCCATGGGGGACCAGGGACGTCCATGGGGGACCAGGGACGTCCATGGGGGACCAGGGACGTCCATGGGGGACCAGGGACGTCCATGGGGGACCAGGGACGTCCATGGGGGACCAGGGACGTCCATGGGGGACCAGGGACGTCCATGGGGGACCAGGGACGTCCATGGGGGACCAGGGACGTCCATGGGGGACCAGGGACGTCCATGGGGGACCAGGGACGTCCATGGGGGACCAGGGACGTCCATGGGGGACCAGGGACGTCCATGGGGGACCAGGGACGTCCATGGGGGACCAGGAACGGTATTAACATGCCGATATTATATCTAACATCACCACCACCTAGTGACAGGGAGCCGGTCGGCCGAGCGGACAGCACGTTGGACTTGTGATCCTGTGGTCCCGGGTTCGATACCGGGCGCCGGCGAGAAACAATGGGCAGAGTTTCTTTCACCCAATGCCCCTGTTACCTAGCAGTAAAATAGTTACCTGGGTGTTAGTCAGCTGTCACGGGCTGCTTCCTGGGGTTGGAGGTCTGGTCGAGGACCGGGCCGCGGGGACACTAAAAGCCCCGAAATCGTCTCAAGATAACCTCAAGGTCGACCCCCCCCTCCCCACACTAGTCAATCAACCAACCAGTTGAGAGGCGGGACCAAAGAGCCAGAGCTCAACCCCCGCAAGCACAACTATGGGAGTACACAGTTGCCCAACCACTAACTAGGTGACTGTTTGAGCTGGACGGTAGAGCGACGGTCTCGCTTCATGCAGGTCGGCGTACAATCCCCGACCGTCCAAGTGGTTGGGCACCATTCCTTCCCTCCGTCCCATCCCAAAGCCTTGTCCAGATCCCTTCCCAGTGCTACACAGTCGTAATGGGGCTTTCTGCTGATAACCTTCCCCCACATAGTTGTGAGAGCATCTCACGAGGAAACCCCCCCCCCCCCCACACACACACACCTGTACACACCTGTACAGGTGCGCGTGCCTGTACAAGAATCCTCGTCAGGATTCAATGATTCCCATTGCCACTACTACCGACCTGGGTGAAATATGAGTAGGAGTCATGAAGAGGATTCGAACCAGCACACTGGGTACACCCAAGCACACGCCTTAGACCACTTAACCACGATATGCTGAAGGCAATACCATTGATGATTCATCTGAATCCTCTAGGGGGGTCCTGAAGCTTCCAGTGAAGCCAAGTCAGGGGTTACCTTGAGGTGATTTTGGGGCTTAGCGATCCCGCGGCCCGGTCCCCGACCAGGCCACCTTGTTGCTGGACGTAGCTGGACTGCTGACGTATGAGTCATAGCCTGGTTGATCAGGGTGTCACACACTGGGCCCTGCACTCTGGCCACACCTCCGGCACCGTAGCCTGAGTGCAGGCTTGAAATGTTTGTATCCCTGACTTGCCGGTACTGGAAGCCACAGGTCCCCCTGGAGGATTCAGTTAAATCACGAGTGGTATATTGCTTTTTATAAAGACCAGGGGGGGGGGGTGGCGCCACCCTGGTGTTGTGTGGACCAGGGGGGCGCCGCCACCCTGGTGGTGTGTGGACCAGGGGGGCGCCGCCACCCTGGTGTTGTGTGGACCAGGGGGACGCCGCCACCCTGGTGGTGTGTAGACCAGGGGGGCGCCGCCACCCTGGTGGTGTGTGGACCAGGGGGGCGCCGCCACCCTGGTGGTGTGTGGACCAGGGGGGCGCCGCCACCCTGGTGGTGTGTGGACCAGGGGGGCGCCGCCACCCTGGTGTTGTGTGGACCAGGGGGGCGCCGCCACCCTGGTGTTGTGTGGACCAGGGGGGCGCCGCCACCCTGGTGTGTAGACCAGGGGGGCGCCGCCACCCTGGTGGTGTGTAGACCAGAGACCAACGTAATGTTATGTCTTAATGTAGACCAACATTAAGGAGGTGGTCAAGATGGCGCCAGTTCTTCCTCCAGAAGGCGGCGGAACACAAGTGTTAATTAATACAACGGTGGTGAGCCTCTTCGTCATGACGAAGGCCAATTATGCCGGCTGGTCCACGCTGGTGGCCCGAACACCAGCCGGCTGGTCCACGCTGGCGGCCCGAACACCAGCCGGCTGGTCCACGCTGGCGGCCCGAACACCAGCCGGCTGGTCCACGCTGGCGGCCCGAACACCAGCCGGCTGGTCCACGCTGGCGGCCCGAACACCAGCCGGCTGGTCCACGCTGGCGGCCCGAACACCAGCCGGCTGGTCCACGCTGGCGGCCCGAACACCAGCCGGCTGGTCCACGCTGGCGGCCCGAACACCAGCCGGCTGGTCCACGCTGGCGGCCCGAACACCAGCCGGCTGGTCCACGCTGGCGGCCCGAACACCAGCCGGCTGGTCCACGCTGGCGGCCCGAACACCAGCCGGCTGGTCCACGCTGGCGGCCCGAACACCAGCCGGCTGGTCCACGCTGGCGGCCCGAACACCAGCCGGCTGGTCCACGCTGGCGGCCCGAACACCAGCCGGCTGGTCCACGCTGGCGGCCCGAACACCAGCCGGCTGGTCCACGCTGGCGGCCCGAACACCAGCCGGCTGGTCCACGCTGGCGGCCCGAACACCAGCCGGCTGGTCCACGCTGGCGGCCCGAACACCAGCCGGCTGGTCCACGCTGGCGGCCCGAACACCAGCCGGCTGGTCCACGCTGGCGGCCCGAACACCAGCCGGCTGGTCCACGCTGGCGGCCCGAACACCAGCCGGCTGGTCCACGCTGGCGGCCCGAACACCAGCCGGCTGGTCCACGCTGGTGGCCCGAACACCAGCCGGCTGGTCCACGCTGGTGGCCCGAACACCAGCCGGCTGGTCCACGCTGGTGGCCCGAACACCAGCCGGCTGGTCCACGCTGGCGGCCCGAACACCAGCCGGCTGGTCCACGCTGGTGGCCCGAACACCAGCCGGCTGGTCCACGCTGGTGGCCCGAACACGAGCCGGTGTAGCATGAAATATTTCACAAAACCAGTCGTCGTTCAGAACACATTGACCGCGGCCTGACCGTTAACAATCAGTCTTGAAGCAGCAAATTAAGAGGTCAATTAAGTCATGCCAACTGCGACTGCTGCTCAGTCTTGGGGAGACTGACTAATGAGTCGCCTCGCGCCTCCACCACAGGAAGTCCCTCAGGCGCCACACAGGTTCCGGGGAGAGTGGGTCGCGCGCCCCCACCGTCCACGACTATGCCTCCTAACCCGGTCTTGGTGCCCGTGGCCCTGGGTTACCCAGAGTCATTACTCCCACAACCTGAGTAATTCCGGAGACTGGAGTTACTCCTGAGGGGATGAGGGCCGGTGGCTTCCCCTTGGTCTTATAGAGGGCGTGACGGGCTGGGAGCGCCTCATACGGCACAAGTAAACATTTCTTACTCATAGGCTTCTCATAGTTGATGTGGCTTTATTTTCCTTATGTTTTCAACAGGATGTACATATTTTTGTGGATTAGGCGACTGTTAGCAATGGTTTCCATATTTACATTCTGGTCAGGGTAAATTATATACTTTTTATGCAACAAACCCAAAAAGGACGAGAAAAAACATCAAAGCAAAAAAGCACGAAAGGTGTTACCGCGTGTTTTATATTAACACATTTAGGTCCAGTGCATTTGTGGAGGTGCGCTAGATTATTATTAACATCTTTATTGACAAAATTAATTACAATTTTGCCTAATCTGAGGATTTTGAGTCTTATTAAATTGAGGTTAATGCTAGTATTCACTGTCACGCAGGACAGAGGGTCATACATAAGACAATAGGTCTAAACTGTAGGCTGAAGCACATATATATCACGGTTACAATCAATGTTTTAATGTGTGGATATGTGAAAACAACTTTCTATTGTGCACTGCCACACAAGGGCAGGGATGGGTTCATAAGTGATGCAGCTTAGAATATAAGTAGAAATTGTTCTTCAGCCTGTATGGAGGGGAGCGTGTGGAGCTGCCCGACCACTCCCCATCACACAGGAAGGTTAGTCACTCACGGCCTGTGATCAGTAGTCTGCACTGCTGAACTCTCCACACTTTTTACCTTTACAATGACAAGTCTACGGAAAAAATCCCACTGGTCCACGGACTAGCAGGAAGTCTCAGGATAGAACTTGAGGTCATTAAGAGGGTAAATAACAGGTAAGGAGGTCCTGGGCGGGCGTAAGTGACGCCCAACAATAGAGAATCCTGGCTAATGGCAGCAGTCTCCCGCCCGCAGCCCCTCAGAGCGGGAGGCAAAACTTCCTGGCCTTGGGACACTTCCTGCGCCTGTTGCCGCGCCTGTTGATACCCTGGCTGCTCGTGGCGATGTTCCCGTTGTTCACTTGTGTGACTTCCGCTGCTCGAGTTGCCACTTGTGCCGCCACGCTGACGACTCGGCGGGGTTTATGAAGTCAGTCAGACTCGAGGAGTCAAGACAGCAGGTCAGACGAGGGCCTCTTGAGCTCCCCCTTGTTTAACACCGTTGCATAACGCTGCTACTTCCCGCCCTCAGTACACCTCTACCCCCCCCCCCTAGAGATTATGCCCATCTAAGAGACTTTAGAAGTATGTGTAGTATAATAAGCCACACAATTACAAAGAAATCACACTAATATGACACATATCGATGAGAAAATCAACTTGAGCAATGAGGCGACTAAAACCAGCGACCATGGTACTCCCAGCTCTACGCCATACCCCTGCACCACCAGTTGGTACAAGTTATACAACCTTCGATTCAACTGTAGCCACAGGAAGTCTGGAAGTAGTTCATCAACAATACACTCCAGCTTTGAATTCACAAAGAAATCACACTGCCATGATATATATCAGAGGGTTATATGTAAAAATTGGGCCTGGCTTCAGTAGAAGCCTCCAGACGTCGTGTGTATTCAGTGGAATACCAGGTTGTATAACTTGTACCCTGTCGGGGTACAGGGGTAAGGTGCGCTGGTTCCAGTCACTTCATTGTTCCAGTCGATTCTCAAAGTCAACTTTTGAGAAATCAACTTTTCTGATGTTGAGTTAGAAAAACATTTTGTCAAATTATCTCCTCAAAATCTTGCCCCAACTTTGCACCAGCAAGAGAACGTGAACTTGAGGGTTATAAGTGGTAAATCCCTTGTTTTACACTAATTGTTGCTTGAGACAGTTAAGCAAGTCACAGCTACGTCTGGGTACAAGTGGAAGGATGAACAACCCAGCGGGTTTTCTTCCTATTGGGGAGTGTTGAACATGCTATGTTGGTATGTTCACTCACAGGAAGTGACGCTGGCCAATGAACTAACCTTCAGGAACCTAAATATATATATTAGTTCCCGCTCTCACCTTTAACAACTTACTAGCTACCATTGTCGAGACTAACAAATAATTCTTAAACGGGATATTGTTATATGTTTGAAAACTGTTGAATCTATATAGGACCCGTCTCCTATGGGTTAATTGGTCTGTGCATTGTCCCCAGTAAGGTTAGTCGACTTTAGACGTTACCACTGCTAGGCTTAGGCTCGGCTACAAGTACCTCTGGCAGTTTGTAACATCTGCTGATGTTACAAACACCCTGTGGTCTGTCAGGCGCCTGCCAGCTGGGTGGACAGCGCTTCGGATTCGTAGTCCTGAGGTTCCGGGTTCGATCCCCGGTGGAGGCGGAGACAAATGGGCAAAAATGTTTCGTTCACCCTGATGCCCCTGTTACCTAGCAGTAAATACGTGCTGCTTTCTGGGGGTGGAGACCTGGTCGAGGACCGGGCCGTGGGGACACTAAGCCCCGAAATCATCTCAAGATAACCGCCCACAGGATGGGTATAGGGTGCATAATAAAGAAATATGAAAAAACCCTGTTCCTTCAAGGTAGCGAACGACTTAGACCGAAACTCAAGACCTCGCAATAAAGCCTTAAGAATATTAACTACTTTACAGACTGAACCAGCCCCATGGACTAGATGGTTGAGCGACGACCTCGCTTTTTGCAGGTCCGCGTTCAATCTCCAACGGTCCAAGTGGTTGGGCATCGTTCCTTTCCGCCGTCTTAATCCAAATTCTTATCCAGATCTCTCTCCCAAGTGCTATGTAGTTGTGCTGGCTTAGTGCTCTCTCAAGATTATTACCATGCGTTATCTGTAGTACAGAGCGTGGCCGGCTTCCCATCATAACCACCATCACTAACCACCATCACTAACCACCACCATAACCACCAACACTAACCACCATCACTAACCACCACCATAACCACCATCACTAACCACCACCATAACCACCAACACTAACCACCACCACAACCACCATCACTAACCACCATCACTAACCACCACCATAACCACCAACACTAACCACCACCACAACCACCACCATAACCACCATCACTAACCACCACCATAACCACCAACACTAACCACCACCACAACCACCATCACTAACCACCACCATAACCACCATCACTAACCACCACCACTAACCACCATCACTAACCACCACCACTAACCACCACCATAACCACCACCATAACCACCATCACTAACCACCACCATAACCACCACCATAACCACCATCACTAACCACCACCACTAACCACCACCACTAACCACCATCACTAACCACCACCATAACCACCAACACTAACCACCACCACAACCACCATCACTAACCACCACCATAACCACCATCACTAACCACCACCACAACCACCATCACTAACCACCACCACTAACCACCACCATAACCACCACCACTAACCACCACCACTAACCACCACCACTAACCACCATCACTAACCACCATCACTAACCACCACCATAACCACCAACACTAACCACCACCACAACCACCATCACTAACCACCACCATAACCACCAACACTAACCACCACCACAACCACCACCACTAACCACCACCACTAACCACCACCACTAACCACCACCACTAACCACCATCACTAACCA